TCAAAAAGTTTAGGTATTACAGACAAATTTGCTATTCCCCTATAGTTTTCAATAGATGACCTAAATCCACTCTTATGTAAAGGAATTATAAATGACTTTTTCCATATKGATGGAAATAAGCCTTGCATATGAGATGAATTAAATAGTTTTGCTAGGGGTTGGTATATATATTTGGCTTATTTCTTAAGAAAGCATGATGGAATCATATCTGGGCCGTAATTGTATGATTGTTCTAATATATTTAACTGATATAAGACGTCTGCTTCGGAAATGGTAGGTGCATTAATGATAGAAATCGGACATAACTTGTGCTGATGCGGAACATTTTAAAGAATTCAGCGAACCTATTAGAAATGGTGTGATTGTCACTGGACATACTAGACTTATATTTCATAGCGGACGGAAAATTAGAAATCCTGCGTTTGGAGTTGACGAAACCATAGAACAATTTTGAATTACGTATAATATTATTTTTTACTTTATTTATACATTTATTATAACATAGTTTGCTAAGTTCAGCAAATTGTCGTCGCAATTTAGAATATTTTGAATAGTAAGCAACTAAACCAGTTTTTTTTAAAAAGTTTAAAAGCACGAGATTTTCTATTATTTAATTTACATAATTCTTTCAAAAACCATAAATTAGAACTTATTTTATGAGTAACAACACACTTCGGAACATATTTTTCAAATAAGTTTAAAATAGTTTCATTAAAGTGGGGAGCACTAAATTCAATGTTGCCATTGTAATCTGGCCAAGGAACTTTAGAAAGTTGGTAATTAATTTTCTTAAAATTAGCTTTCGCAAAGTTGAACCGAAAACAAAGGTCTTGTGTATCATTATGAGTAAAGTTGGCTATGGTTTCGATGTTAATTTCCAAAGCAGGATGATATGAGTCCTCTGGCCGAACCAAAGGATCACATCGGACAACAGAGAACATTGAAGCGTTATCGACGTAGACTAGATCTAAGAACTTACCAAACTCGTTCGAAATTAAATTAATTTGATTAAGACCCAACTCCAACATTTTATCTAACAACTCGTTAAAACATAAGCGAGTACTAATAGGAATGGTGTAGTCATCAATAGATTTCCATGATACGCACGGTAAATTGAAATCCACCAAAACAATCATGTAATCAGTATTATTAGCCATTGAGAAAACATTAATTATTAATGAAGCATGTTGCATATATACAGATATGTCCGAGTGAGGCGGTATATAAGATAAAGTTAAGTAGATATAGCCACTATTAGCGCAAATACGAATGCACTTAAATTCTATGAAATGTGTATGCGAAACATCGACTTCTTCAGATGGAATTGAAGAATGAGCAGCAAACAAGACAAGACAGCAAACAAGTCATATCTAAACATTTCAAATTCGCTATTGAATATTTCACTATCAAAAATGTGGGGCTCTAATCAAGTTTCTGTGAAAGCAATGATTTTAAAATTACAATTGAGGCTATTTAAATACAGATCGGAAAGTTTTGTATTACGGCCTCTTACATTTTGATAATAAATACTCAGCGAATTATTGCTAATCAGTTTTTTGTATCAACGGCTTTTACTGACAACTGCAGGGGGTTTAAATGTTTATGCTCAAATTCGCGTACAAAGACTCCAGATGGCCAGAATGAGTTGTCAAGAGCCAATTGAAAATTGTCAGCGGATATGTCGAGACAATCGGCGGCCGTTGGTTTATTTTTTTCGCACAGCTCGGATTTTCTACCAACAATACAATGTTGTGGCGCATTGTCGCCACATTGACTCTTTGACAAAAAAAATATCATCTTAAAAGATCTAGCGGTCGCACATGTGCTTATATACATGTAACTATGTGTGCATGTAAAAAAATATGACAGACCATACGCATAATGTTTGCAAATTTGTCTACATGCAACATATGCATGTAAATATGTRCACTCAATGCTTCATAAGAAATCTCCGTTCACACGGTCAGCCAATGGCGAAGCTCATTTTTTGTCAAARAGTCAACAATGCGTCACAACATTGTATTGTTGGTAGAAAATTCGAGTTGTGCGAAAAAAAATAAACCAACGGCCACCGATTGTCTCCACTTCCCTTGCCCCTGTACAGCTTCTCAAAAAAAACCAACGTATATATGTATGTTTGTGTGTGAACTTGTATAAGTTATTTATTTATTTGTTCACATTTAAAACACAATTATTATTTGGCACCGAGCCGTGTGTTTTTTGTTGAAAACCAAACTTAGAATTAATTACAAAAATCTTCTTACGCCTGCACGTACAGGTGCATTGAAGTCGTTGCTGTTGTTGAAAAGTAGCACTGATGTTCTCAAGTAGCGGCGGCGCTGTATCGTCATTTACTCTGGATGCGCGTGTGGTGTCGTTTAACCGTGGGATAGCGACCGCTGTCCGAGTCGCATGCTTACGTAAGCTTTTAGTGGTTGGTTATTTGTAAAGGCTATGTAAGCCAATTTCGGCGTATGTTGCGTTAACTTATACATATCGACGCAGTTTTTTGCAAGCCGCGTAAAATATTGTTTGCATTCATGACAAATACAGTCAATCCTGGTTATGYGYAACAATCTAAGATACAGATTTTTGTGGTTTGTTAAAAATAAGAATATAATATGGCACATAGGCAAGTGCGGATATTTAAGCGAGTGGTACTTAAAGCAATAATTTCTACATATTT